CGGGGGCTACGGCAAATTTCTGGGTGGTTGCAGCCTCCCCATAGTCCCCACTCCGCCGCCTGCCCTGTCCCAATCCGAGGATATACGTCTCTTCATGCCCTCCCACCACTCACCCAGCTGGGGCAGGGCGAGCGCAGGACAAAGCCACGGCTCGCCCAGGGCTGCGGGGAAGGAGGGGCGGCTCCTGTCACTGTGTGCCACTTGTCTGGAGGCAGTGCAACGGCTCTGTCCTGTGCTTGCCCCGCCCCGACAGTGAGGGCATAGCCCCCACTCCCAGTGCTGCTGCTGCCAGCCCGGAGGGCAGCCTGGTGCAGACCTGGCCTTGCCCACCCCAGGGGCACACGCCCCCCATGCCCTCCTTGACAAGCAGCAGGAGCAGCAGCGGGAACTGCTGGACAAGCTGCCAGGTGAGAAGCATGCAGTGGCAAGAACCGCTGCCCTTCCCTCCCCATGCCCCTCCGACGAGTCACAGCTCAGTCCTGCACCTGCCCGGCCCCAGCTGGGCAGTGCTTGCCCCAGCCCTGGTCCCAGCCCCAGCCCCTCTCTCACCACAGGGGGTGTTGATCTGCCCCCCAATGCCCCTCTCCTCCCCACTCCCTTCCACCATGATAAACTTTACCAGCTGAATGCAGCTGTATCGAGCATTGTAAAGGAACCAATCCCCCCATTTATAACACTGTTCCTATGGGAAAACCAGTTCTGACTTACGACATTTCAACTTAAGATGCAATTTTCAGGAACCAATTGCGTTGTAACTCTGAGGACTACCTGTACCTTTATCTTTGCATGAAAGCGGATTAAAGTCAGTAGTTTTCCGCATTTACACATGGAATTAATGCTATATGGGTTTACAGCGCAGTAAACCCACCCTGGGCAGGTGCCTACATGTGCAGCATTTGGGAGCAGACTTGCTTCTCATGGCAGTAGCCTGCTCCTGGCCTACTCTAGCCCTGCACCACCGCCCTGCAGCAGCCAGGGGGAGCTGGAGACTCTGGGCACAGCTGCCTGGGGCCAGGGGCTCTCTTTAAAAGTCAGCTGCAAGCACTACTCCCCTAGCCACCTGTGTTTCTGGCCTGGAGCAGGCTATAGTGTGCTTGTACAACCCTTTGTGACTGTCACCAGAGCCTGTGTCCACTGTGCAATGGCTGCTCTACCCCCACGACCTAGGAGCAATGACCTCGTTGTGTCTCACTGATGTAGTGACTGTCACCTGGCCCAGATCAGTCTTGGCTCTGCCTGGCCCCCTACGTTGTGCATCCAGGCTCGCCACTGTGCCTGAGGCCCCCTGCCCCGACGCTGCTGCCGCCCATCTCCTGGGCTGCCACCTGGACCCCAGCAGAGATGCTGACAATGCACACATGGACGCCACCATCAGTGCCATCCACAAGCTCCTGGGGCTCCAGCCCCATTGCCTGTGGGCCTGCCCGCCAGCCAGGATTGGTGGCTGCATGTTCTCCAGCACATCTGGGACAACGAGCAGTGGCTAAAGTCCTTTTGCATGACCTAGGCCACATTTCAGGAGCTCCTTGAGCAGCTCTGCCAGTACCTGGAGCAGCAGCCCACCACCATGTGGACATCCGGCTGGCTATCACCCTCCTCAAGCTGGCTGTACCCACCGGCCTGTAGTACATCAGCCATTTCTTCCAGTGGCAACACATAGGGGGTGCGCAGGGGTGCACGTGCACCCCAAGAGCGCTGCTGCACTCCCTGACAGGCCGTGCTTCTTGCTTAGGCGATGGGCATGGGGAGCAGGCAGGAGTGCCGGTGCTTCCCCTGTGAGCACCAACCGGGAAGTGGGAGAGCCACGGCCACTTCTGGGAGTGCCATGGCTGCTTCCTGGCTGGCACGGATGGCCGCGGAGGCCATCTGTCCCCTGGTTGGCAAGATTGGCCTCGGGGGGGGGG